GACATAGAAGAAGTGAAGGAAAAAGTGAGGGAGGTGCTGTCAGCCATCCAATTGAGTTTGAAAAATGTTTCCAAGAAGGAAATTTCAGATTTGACAAATGTTTTAAGTGTAATGGAGATTACTTTGAAGGTGATAAGGTTATTTTGTAAAATAAATTTAAACATATAACTTTGAAAAACTATCAGTTTCTTTTGGGGGATACCCCCTGGTATATTTCCTCAGCTCTCAGAGGAGGATAATACTCTGAGACACGTGTCATCTCCATGACTACATTTATACCTTATTTACCTGCTGAGGCGGGAGATTTAGCAAGAATAAGAATGTGGCACTTGTTCTCTGCTTGGAGGGAGTTAGTGTATTCTTTTCAATGACTTCAGACAAGTGGGACCTACTAAAAAGTGAGGATGCCCTTACAGTGCTGTGAAAGGGGAGGGAGGGACCCCTTAGGTGTGCGGATATAGGTAAATTGCCTGGCAATCCAAAGTAGCTATGCAACTATTCAGGATGTGGACTCCAACTGATGCTGTGAACCTTTGTGTGGATGTTGTCTATCAGAATGAGGCAAACACATGAGACACAAAGGGTTGGCAAATGAAATTCATTATTTGTTGAAAGCAAACTCCAAATGATAGGATTAGATTTATTGGGAATCACCCTTCCCAACCCCAGCTCACCCCCATGTTGTATCATAGGACATGGGCTTGTTCACAGTCAATGGGGATCTCGCATCTCAAAAAGATAACTTGTTTGCTCTTCACTGAAAACCAATGGTTGTTCTTATGACACTGTGTGAGTGTCAGCAAGTGCACCCTGTTCCAGGTGCTGGGTTCACGTCCCCACCTCAGTTCATCCACTGGTACAGACTGGCTGTGCCTGCTCTCTCTGTCTCTGTGCTCCTCTCTGCCCCTTTACTGGCTTGTTCAGTCTTTCACCAGCTGCCTCTAGACACCACTGTACTAGCCCAATTCTGACTCATGGGTTCTACTGCCGTCTTTTGCAAAGGTGAGTGCATTCCCATAATGCATTCTGATCTGCTCCAACAGCTGTCTCAGCCCCACACCACAGCCCTGCTTCACTCTGGGCTCTGTGTCCTCAGCGTAAGTCCTCCTTCCACAGTTCTTGTGGGGCGGTTCCTGCCTCTATTTTTGTTGGTCTTGGTGTTACTAGTTTAGTGTTACAGACCCTTCTGTGTGCTATGGCTCGGTTACCAGGATTTGGGCATGTTCCCTTTCAAGATTTTGTTGAGTAGAAGGTTCTGCAAACAACTGTGTGGTTGGCCATTTATACGGGACTACTTCTCTTCAGTGTCAGTGTCCACGTTTTCTTTCAGGATCACATACTGAGAAGGCCTCTTAATGTAGATTGAAAACCCAGGGCCAGATTGGCAACACAGGGAATCCATTGAACCCCAAAGGGTCCAAGCTCTTCTGATGTTCCAGGCATTCCAAAAGTGTGGCCGTCTCGTGGGGTTTTAGCTCTACGTCATGGCTCCTCTCGTTGCAAATTAACAACAATAACAAGTTGCCTTCAAGTGGATTCACATGGGTTAGGGCGTAGTTCAGCGGAATGATGGGTGCGTTGAATGTATCAGGTCCTCTCTTTAATCCCACACAACGTCACAGATTCCTTCTCACATATCAAGGAGCCTGTGGTTAAGCATTCTCCTGCTAGCTGAAAGGTTGACAGTTCAAACCCACAAGCCACTTCTCAGAAGAAAGATGTGTCAGTCTTCTTTTGTAAAGATTACAGCCTGGGAAACCCTGTGGGGGCATTTCCAATCTATCCTGTAGGGCCACTGTGAGTCACTGTGAGTATGACTTCTCTGCTTCGTATATCATTTAAATTTTCTTTTTGTCTAGAAAGACATCCACACATGTATCCATTTGCTTAAACTTGAGATGTCTCAAAATTGACCATATTTGTGAAAAACCTCTGACCCCTTTTAAAAACAGAATTGAAAGCTTCCATCTTCATACTCTTATATCCCTTGGTTTGTACTCAGTTTTAAACATCTGTCATTACACTATCTGGTTTCTCATTTAGAGATTTCTTGACGGTATAAAGCCTATTTCACTTTCTGTTCCAACGCTGGCCTACTAAACAGTTCATCCATAGTACATAGATGAATGGAAGGAGATGGATATTATCACAACCCCTTTAGGAAGACCCAGGAAAAAGAAAAAATAAATCAGAAAAACTGGAATCTTAAGTATGACCTCTTCAAGCAAAACTGTTGTCTGAGATACAGAACAGTGCAAACAACCTAACCCCTTTCTCCACTTTCCACTTACTTTTTGGAGGGAGGGGCTGAGAAAAGCGCTGTCCTCTGAGATTACGATTTCAATCGTGAGAGAATTGCAGCAGTTTGGCGCCTGAGATAAATCCTCCTTCACAAAGTGCAGTGGCCGCCTGGGAAACAGTGCAGTTACAGTACCTGCCACGGCCAGCAGATGCCTGCAAACACCATAAGATGATATTTGTCAGAGAGTTTTGGAAAATAAAAATGTTGCTGTTTTTTAGAACTATGTATCACTGTTCTAATAGGATTTTGTGTTTATTTTTTGCCTTTTAATTCCTGATGAAAAAAAATTGAAATGACTTAAAAGAAAGGGGAAATTTATATTCTCCTTTGTGAGATATGAAGCCAGTGTGGGAACATACATGCTATTTTTATGTCACTAAAAAAATTTCTGGTTGTAAAAGAGAAACAATGATAAATATTTTTGCCATTCTTTCTTTTGAAAAAGATCAAGAGAATTTCATTTTAATGTGTCTTTTGTCTCTACTTTTTCTCTTAACCAATATAGGAGATGTATTCAAAAGGAATAATTCCCCTTTCTGCTGTATCTACCATACGTATTCAAGGAGACTACAAATTTGAGGTTGTTACAAAACAAAGAACTTTTGTTTTTAGAGTAGAGAAAGAAGGTAAGATGATTTCTTTATTCTTTTGAATGCATCCCGATAATGAATTCTGTCCAATCAGAAGATACATGGAATAGTTAAGCTGTAAGCACAAAGAAACCCTTAAGTACATTAATTTAAAATCTTGCATTTTATGATACGTTTTTTTGAGTGCCGCAGTGTTGAAACCCAGTGACTGTCGAGTCCATTCTGTCCCATGGTGACCCCTCGCGACAGCAGAATTGCCTCATGGTAGGTTTAAGGCTGCAGCCTGGATGGAAATGGACCACTACGACCGTCATCTACAGCAAGAGACCTTTTGGTTAGCAGCAGAGCACTTTCCCACCGAACCACTAGGGCTCCTAGATAAGTCTGCGGGTTATTTGTCGTTAGTTTACTTATCCTTTCATGAGACACGTATTTAGTGAGAGTTTGCTTCTAAGCCCTGAGACCACAGCAGTGAAAACAGTAAAAAAAAAAAAATCTGCTCTCAGGAAGTTCACATTTTAGCTGTTGTTTTGAGAATGCAAAGTAGCTAGTTATGTAATTCTTGTGTAGTGGAAAGTTGGTTTTATGTACATTTGTGTAAGGTAGATTTTAGCTGAATGCAAAGGCATAGTGATCATTTTGCTATAGATAAAGATTTGGGATCTTTTTTATTTATTGGATTCTTTTCACGTTCATTATCTCTTATGGGTCACATAGTGAATGAGCATCAATCTCAAGATGGCATGTGTTCTATATGTACAGAGAAATTTTAATGGCTGTTTTTTGTTTTTTGGCCGGGGAGGAGGTGCAGAAAGCCAGGGAAGTTGAAATAATTTCATAGATTAACAGAATATGTCATAATTATAAGCTGTACTAGTTTTGAATACTGTAGTTAATTCTACCTTCAATAACTGAAGAGGATGGTGACATTTTTCTCAAGTACTGTGAACATGCTATCAGGTGGGACCAGTCCCTGGAAAAGGCCATCATATTTGTTAAAGAGTCAGAGAGAAAGAGGAAGCCCTGCAATGCTGTAGATTGGCACAATGACTTTGTAGCAATGGGCTTAAACCTAGCAGGATTGTGAGGATGTGGGCAGTGTTTGTTTTGTTGTGTGTTGAATTGCTGTGAGTTCGAATTGAAAGCTTCCTTTATTGCTTAGGATAATTAGTGAATGAATCAGTCTCACTGCTGTTCACCCAGGGGTAGCATTTTTCAACTTGATTGCTTACCCATTCCTGAGCTCAACTTAGTGGTATATGAGCATATTAAAAAAGAAAATAAATAATAAGCATTAAGAATATGAAAGTGCATTGTTTATAGCAAGCATCACAGAGTATAAATATATATATGCCTTTATTATACAGATATAGACAGTGTTACTGACTTGCTATTAGACATGATGAAAGCTGTAGCCCTTGAACACAAGAGTTAGCAAACTGTGACTTGAAGTCTAAGTCTGACCTGCTGCCTGTTTTTGTAAATATAAAATTCTATCGCACAGACTCTCATTCATTTGTATGTAGTCTCTTGCTGTTTTCCTGTCTCAGTGCAGAATTGAGTAGTTGTAGCAGAGAGCATATGGCCAGTAAAGCCTTGATTATTTGCTCCTTTGGCACATTATAGATAACGTTGGCCAGACTCCTGCTCTAGAGCATTTTGTGTAGAATCTCTCATGTGGGAAGCCAGTTTTTGTGAGCCATCACCTGAAGTTCAGAAAGTTTTTCACGATTCTGATACTTAAATGAGACGTATTTAAAACACAGCTTTCTTTGCGTGAGGTTCCTGGACAGACACATGCCTCTCAGTCGGCTCTCCTGGTCGCTGTAGTTTTCCCTGTCCCTGCGTCTGTGCGGTACTTGTCACCTTCCCCATGGGCCTCTCAGAATTATTCCACACATGCCTCTTCACCTCTATTTTAAGACAGACATGCTAAATAAAGCCTCCAACTTACGTGAAAATCTGTTTAGCCATATTTACTTAGTACAGACACATTTTATGTAGAGACAATCAGCCCACACATGTTGAAAAGGTACATGCTTGTAATTAACCCCTCAGGATGTGTGGTTCATCTTTGTGATATAAACTTACTATAGGAGTTTTATAAATTTGGCATATAATTAAGTTTTAAATCTTTAAATTTTGAAACCCTGGGCATTCTGCTTTAGTAAAAACGGAAAGGGCAATTGTGTCACAGAATTATTGAATAAATAAGCAGCTGCAAGGTGGTAGGCATAGTGGATTACATGTTGAACTGCTAACCGCAAGGCCACCAGTTTGAAACCAACACCGGCTTTCGGGTAGAAAGATGAGGCTTTCTGCTCGCCTGCACAGTTCCAGTCCAGGAAGCCCCGAGGGCATTTCTACTCTGTGAGTCACTGGACTCACAGTTGACTCAGTAACAGTGAGTTTCTTCTCTTTCTTATTTGTTTTTTTGAATAAATTATTTTCATTGCAAACCCGCTTCAGATAATAATTCACATAGTTAAAACAACACATATACTGTACATAATCAACAGTAAGTTACTTAGATTTTTCTAAATCGAAATTTCTTCATTTATTAACTGAAAGCAATATCTATCTTACGGAATTGTGTCTATATATGATTTTGTATCTGGGATTTTAGTGTAAACCCGAAACCAAGATTTTTATGATCTTTTATGCTGTAACCTTCCTCTTATACATATAAGTAGTTGAATATTCTTTGTTTTATGGGAACTAAGAAGTTGTAGTGGCTTACTGAAAAAGTCAACAAACGTGAAGACAAATTAAAATTTGCCACAATCTTTTTTTTTTCTTTCTTTTTTTTAACATTTTATTAGGGGCTCATACAACTGTTATCGCAATCCCTACACACATCAATTGTGTAAAGCACATTTGTACATCATTCTCAAAACATTTTCTCTCCACTTAAACCCCTGACATTAGGTCCTCATTTTTCCCCTCCCTCCCTGCTCCCCCCTCCCGCATGAGCCCTTGATAGTTTATAAATTGGTATTTTGTCATATCTTGCCCTGCCCGACGTCTCCCTTCACCCACTTTTCGGTTGTCTGTCCCCCAGGGAGGAGGTCACACACAGTTCCTTGTAATCGGTTCCCTCTTTCCTACCCATTCTCCCTTTACCCTCCCTGTTTTGCCACTCACACCACTGGTCCTATAGGGCTCATCCATCCTGGATTCCCTGTATTTTCAGTTTCTATCTGTACCAGTAACATCCTCTGGTCTAGCCAGCCTTGCAAGGTCGAATTCTAGTCATGGTAGTGGGAGCGGGGAGGAAACATTTAGGAACTAGAGGAAAGTTGTATTTCTCATCGTTGTTACATCGCACCCTGACTGGCTCATCTCCTCCCCGAGACCCCTCTGCAAGGGGATCTCCGGTGGCCTACTAATGGGCTTTGGGTCTCCACTCCGCACTCCCCCCATCATTCACTATGGTAAGATTTTTTGTTCTGATGATGCCTTACACCTGATCCCTTCGACTCCCCGTGGTTGCATAGGCTGGTGTGCTTCTTCCATGTGGGTTTTGTTGCTTCTGAGCTAGATGGCCGCTTGTTTACCTTCAAGCTTTTAAGACCCCAGATGCTATATCTTTTGATAGCCGGGCACCATCAGCTTTCTTCACCACATTTGCTTATTCACCCGCTTTGTCTTCAGAGCTTGTGTCGGGAAGGTGAGCATCATAGAATAAAATTTGACACAATCTTATCAAGAACCAACTTCAAAATTTTGAAGAGAGGGTCAATCCAGAGTCTGACATAGTATCTCAGATGATTATTTTTTTTGAAAAGGTTTCAAGTGGCCTATATACAACAATAGTCGTTGTCCACAGTCTTCTTGCCCAAAGAGTGGCCATGACTTAATGGTACTAACATTTTTGTAGTCTCGTGTAGAAGAGGGGAATAAAAGACGTGTACTCTGTTGTTAGTTGAGTCAGTTTCGACTCATAGCGACCCTATGTCCAGAAGAACTGAATACTGCTCTTCCAAGAATGACTTTTTAGGGTTTATTTGATGTCATGAGCAATGCTGGGTTTGTTGTTTTAATGGAAATCCTCACCTGATTCCTCATAATCTTGTATTATAAAAATGTATCCTTTCAGAGATTAGAAAAATATAACTTTTCCTTAAGTGTTGGGAGAGAATTCACACCTATGACTGTGGAACCTGGGCTACTAATAGATGTCATGTGACTCACCTGAAACGGATGTAGCAGTTTCTCAACTGCTGCATCGCTGCATCTCATTGACTGTGGTTTGAGAATGACTGCTAAGAAGTATCAAACACTACCTAAACAGAGTACTGGCAAACAACATTTCAGTCCTCAAAATGTACTCCATACAGGAAGGTGCTCAAGATTATGTAACTTTTCTAGTCACACAGTTCTTGAGTCCCAAATGTTTAAGTTTACAGTGACTTCAAAGCCAGCATATTATAATCCTGTGTGACTTTCCCACCCTAGAATCGGGAATTCATTCTCCAGACACAGCACGCAATTTGTCAGGGAGAAGAAGCCTCAAGCAACAAGACCCATTAACTAAGAATATCCTAAGGATTTTCTTTGTTGAGAGTGACTTATATTGAAATAGTCCTTTTTTAAAATATTATTCTTTCAGTAGGACTATTTGTCTGATTCCTCAAGAACAACCATTGGGGTCTATAGGTCATAACAGCTAATTCAAAACCCCTGCCATCAAGTCCCTTTGATTAATAGCAGTCTAGCATAGGGTTTCTGAGACTGTAAATCTTTATGGGAGCACACAGCCTCATCTTTCTTTGGAAGCTGGTGGATTTGAACAGCTGACATGGTGATTCACAGTCCAATGCCGAACCCACAGATGCACAGACTCCAGAGGCTTTCCATTCAGTTGGAATTCCCAGGTTCTTCTGTGGACATTCCTGAAGATGTGTTGCCTTTTGCAAGTGATTCTCCACCCCCCCAGCTCCCCACTACACACACACACACACACACAGGGCCAGCTCTCATCATTATACTCTGGTTTAAGAATTCTGAGTGGTCAGTAGTTTTCCTAGGACACC